TTTATTACTCGACTCCCAATTGCTAATTCAAATGGTGAAATAAATCTTCTGCCTGAGTTTCCTCTAGAGAGAGGGAATATCCTCCTATTCCCTATATCTAAAAGTACGATGCCATGCCAAAAACTTTTGTTTTTTCTTGCCGGAGTGTAAATATTGATTTCGCGCACAGTACGTGCGCCACTTGAGAGCTTAGATTTTCGCAAAGGACCAAATAGGCTGAAGGATGAAGTGATGGTGGGTTAAGCGACTCGTATGCCCTTTCTTCTTTTATACATACAAATATATATATGTATAAATTGAAGTATATATATATATAGCTGTGTGCTTGTTTGTATGGAGCTTTGGCACACGTCCTTGTGCTCGTTTCCAAGTTGCCTGCTGCCTTTTTCGCTGATGTCTGGCTTTTTGGCTGCCTTGGAAATTGAAAGTCTTTCGTTCGCCTGCTTCTGAAAACATTTAACGTAATGCCAGGACACGTGCTCCTGCCATCAATTGAGCTTCTGTTGCCATTTATTTACCTAACTGTTTGCTGCTATGTGTTAAGTGCTAATTGGGTTACTTGTATTTTATCACCCTGTGCCTGTGCCCGTTCCTGCCTTGCCCGTTCCTGCCTAAATGACCACATCTCCACTCGTCTGTTAGCTGATTAATTTTTAAAATTACTTGATGGCTAATGCCGCTAATTATTTGAAAGTGTATTCTAAAGCTTTAGTGCTTGCTGCTAAGCTGAAAAAATAAAAAAGGAAGAATAGAAAAGTCTTAAATCCTCTGCCTCTGTCCGGGGGATTCTTTCAACTTTGGAGTGGCTAATTAAAGTTTTAAGTTTTTCGGCTGGACCATCTGAGGAGGACGAGCTAATTTTTGGCAGCAACGGTCCCAGATGTTGGCCCGCTCGAGTATAAAAGTTTTTCAATTTATTTTAGGTAAACATATTTCGCAAAGATCAGGCTAATTAAGTTTTTGTAGAAAGAAAGAAATCTAAGAAAATGTAGGGGAAAATATATGTCTAAAGTTAGTTATGGTTCTTAAAAACTAAATACCTGACATCGATTTAAAATATAATTTAATCATCTAATTTCTACTTTTAGCATAATCAATAACTTTCGAAACTCCTCTTATGCAAATTTCTAATGCAAATTGTCTTTCAACTGCACTTGCATAAATACATTAACAGACGACAGCTCGACATTTTAGCATAAATATAACGATAAACACATCAACGCTCAGATAACAATTTTGAGTATCATTAAGAACGAATCCAAACTCCTTTAGGGCTAGACGATATCCCTGGGAAAATGCCAGACGCCAACACAAATAGACATAAATTTAAATGGCTAAGGGCTTTGGCTTGAAATCTCCCTGCCCATAATGTGCCGCATCCCCTCTCCACCGTCCAAAGGAGTCTGTCAAAACAAATGTTTGCTAGGAGTAGAGCTGCACGGAATGCAGGGCAACTGCAATATTGCAAGTTGCAGCTGCTGGTTGCAACCACCAACTGTGACTGTCCTTTGGTGGTTATGTAGATGGGCTCGTTCCCGCTGCTACTGCTGCTGCTGCTACGATGCCACATAATCAGGACAAGTGTCCTGGGTGTGCGACATTCTGCCAGGTTGCATGTGCATTATAATTATTATTTTCCAGGCATTTCTATGCACTGAAACAAAGATACGACTTCTAGAGAGTCAGTGGAATATTTAGGATTTTATTTCAGTTTAGATTAGTTTATAATGTATAATAAACCGTTTATGGTTCTTTATTATTTGAAGTTTGCATTAACAGTCACGCAAGGGCTTTAAGAAATAGTTGGGAGGTGTAATTAAGAGCAAAGCTATATGCAAAATTATAAAATAAATATTTTAATTGATGGAAATATGCTTCATTTTATAAGGGGAACTATATATATTTTATAGTTCCAAACCCTATCCAAAAACTATAGCTCAAAAAGCAAATATTTCTCTATCTGCAATGGGAGTTAGCTTTGTTGGAGCTCTTTAGCCAGGTTTATTCATCTGGCCTGGCCTCAATGTGCAGGTGACATTACTGCGGAACAAGAATGAGGCGGCAGCAACAAACTTAGCCTTGAGCAAAAGTTGAGCACTGGCCCCGTGATGATTTATGCACGTGTTTAGTGTGAAAAATTTACATTAAATGCAGACATGGTAGCGAAAGTGTTGCCGAGAGAATCCTTTTGCACACTTCTGTGCCCATTTGTGAATGTGGGCGGTGAGGAGGTGGTGGAGGAACAGGACTTGTGGTCGGCACAGGAAGTGAAAGTGTGTGTGTGTGTAGCTGGGGTGACTCTTGGTGCCGTATTGGGGTCACTGGTCATTATCAAGATGGAGCTAAAGAAATGCCGTAAACTGGAGCTGCGACGAGTCCAAGTCCCAAGTCCCCCGTGCTGCTTGTGCCGTCTTGGCTCATTTGATATGCAGGGCAGATAAAGGCCAACGCGCATTCAGCCCTCAGCTCCTCTGTTTGCCTGTAAGAGGAGCGAGCCAACAATGAGGCGATAGTTTAATGGCAGAGCAAACTGTTGAGCAAGCACATCTTCTTTGGCAAGCAATCCACCGAGGGGAGTTCATTGAGTAGAGAATCGTTTACATTGCATAAATAAACCGATTTATATAAAGTTTGCCTTATTTAAGGAAATAGTATGACATGCTTATATCATCTAAGCTTACAATTGCTAAGATTTTCTTATTAAACGCTTTAATTTTTCAATAATATACAGCTGGTTATACTCTGGTTAATGATGTCTCCCACAAAAAGAAAAATTTTATTAAGTTTAATGAATTTAGGCCACAAATAATATTAGCTGACATAGAATGCATGTTGGGGATTGAATATTTTCACTGATGAGCTTTCATTTCATCCCCAAATTGACTTTCTTACCGCTTTTGAAACATTTTTATATCTTTTACCTTCTCTTTCTTACCTATTGCAAAGGAGCTTTCCGGACTTCCTGCTGTAGAAGCAGAACCATTTGAACGAAGGCGCAATAATTCTTTTCTCTGCTGGCGGCTTTATCCTTTCACACATTTCACGCCCAAAACTCGCTGGGAATGTCAGGCCACGCCCAATGTCTGACGAACCGCCTTTCAATTTCAACCGTACATTTTTGCATTGCATACTTTGGAACGCTGTGCCAGGAAAAGCCTGCAATTGTTTGCACTTTTCCCACTCGGCTCCTGCGGCATCCCGTCTGCAATTTACGCGTCCCTGTTTGAGCCTTTTGTTAACGGAAGAGAGAAAAAAAGAGAAGAAAACCTCAAGGAAAATGGAAAATGAAAAGAAATTGCTTCAAAACTCACCTTTGGGGCCAGCGCCACCTCTTTGAACGGTAGATTTTCACTTTTCTCACACGGAATCATGTATGCACATATATTACTCTTTTGGTGTTGGCCCTAAAACAAATTGCATAGACATTTGTTATTTCGGCAAAAGCGGCTTTCAGCCTGTTCTATTGGTATTTATTTCTTTGCCCTTACAAACATATTAATATATGTAGATATATACATACTTTCAGCCAGATACGATTTGCGAATACTCAAACCAAAAAAAAAAAAAAAATAAGACATAGCAAAAGGAAATTGCATTTTTATAACCCCACTACATTTCCTTTCGGATTTCTTAAGTCCACCTTTATACCTGTTGTTTATTTATTACCTTTTTTTCTTCAACGACTGACTGAGTTTGTGTCTTGTATGTCTGATTTTCCTCGTTTCGCTTTTTTGGCTTTGTCTCTTGCAACTTCGTAGGGATTTTACGTTTTTTTTTTTTTTTTTTTTTTGGGGTTTTAAACTTGCTTCTAACGATCTTCCCGCCCCATGCGGCACAAATGCGAAGATGTGTTCGTTGGGGAAGGTAAAATTTATAATGTGAATTCTGGCATTTAAAGACAAATTTTATGGCTTTTTAGTTGACAGTTGAGAGCCGACGACGTAATTCAGGTGCCCGCAGAAGTAGGCAATGATATTTTTATGGCACTTGGTTGGTTTTTACTTAGGTAGCATATTTTCCTAAATACATATAATTTTACTGTCTATATGTTAAAAGCACTTTAACTAATTAAAATTCGTTTCCTTTATTTTCAGGTAATGTTACTGGTGATTATTATGAGGATGATATTTCGGGTAAAAGCAATTTTAACTATTTAAATGAAGACATTGCCTAAATACTGTTTTTTGTTGAAAGTTCAGGATAAAGATTTAGATTTGATTATTTATTAATTTGATATCTTTTGGTTTTATGTGAGAATCCAATTTATACAACTATAACAGCCGACCTTATTCTAACAGTTCGCTAAACGAAGAAAGTTGTTCTTCAAGCGAAGTCGAATGAAACAGTTTAAAGTCTTGAATTGCTGTGAAAACTTGTTCGGTTTAGCTTGAGAGGGAAGTAAATAAGCCAAACTGTCATGGCTGGTTGACCGATGACCAAAAGCCATTCATTTAAGAGACATCATAAACAACTACTGGGAAGCTGAGAGGGTTGCAAGACCAAAGAGCAACTGGAATCGCTATCTATCATGTGTTGCATATACAAAACGGAAATTATTTATTAATTGCTCACACCACCGCATCGCACCGCACGGCAGGCCAAATAAGAAGAAGCGAAATCTGCGCACAATTAAATCGATATAAAGAGTTTCACAGCAAACATCATGGACGGGTGACCAGGCCCACAAAATATTTCATGCGTTGTCGAACGAAATGAATGCATAAATAATTGATTTAATTTTCGTGTTGACTACAAATGAAGCGCTTAAACGAATGGATGATAGGTTGTGGAGTGCGGTTCATTGGCCAGAACAGTAGTGCGTGGACTTTTAATATATGCAAATTTTGCATTATCAGCATGCAAAAAACAAATAAATGCATTCTAAAAGGCTAAAATAAACGCAGTGTAAATAATAAGCCATCAAAAGTGTATAGGGCAAAAAAGAGATACCGATTAAAACATGACTTCCTGAAACGTTTTCTATCAATGATTTTCTAAAATCCCTTTTTCACTGTCTGCTTTATTTTTGCTTCTAAAATAATAAGTAAGTTTCTGTTGTGAGACACTCATAGATAAATATAAAAAAAATCCATTGGTATCTAAAATATTTGAAATTAAATCCTTAAACACTTTTAATTTTGACGGGATGATAATAAAAATATTTGATTCTTGACTTAATTGACTAGTTATGTTGCAGCAGCAGGCTTCTTGTTTGAGTTGGTGCCATCGTTGAAGGGTTGAATCTCACCGGAGGCCCAAATGCAATAGATAACCGCCGTGACGGAGAGCACGCCAAAGGCTACCCAAAAGACCATACGCCATTCCATTAGGTCGGCATTTGGTGTCATTACACCCACTAGGTAGGGAGATACTACGCCCGTGAACGAACCGATTCCATTGGTAATGGCCATCAGGGTTCCAGCATAATTGGGACTCATGTCCAGAGGCGTGAGTTTCATGCCTGCATAATATGTTCCCATTAGACCCATAGCGATCGTAAACAGGGTGACGACCAGTGCTCTATTGCATCCGGCATAGGATGCGCCGATCATAAATATTGCAGGTCCAAAAGCCGCCACTGCGGTCATTATTTTTCGCGTATTCGTAGTGCTCATACAGTTATGTTTGATCATTTGATCGGCCACACATCCACTGAGTAGCGACATAATCCACATCGTAACGTATGGCAGTGAAGAATACAAACCATTGGACTTTATCGAGAAACGCAAAATATCGTGCATATATTTGGGCAGGTAGGAAACCATGATATAGAATCCCCAATCGTGACCGATCTGTGCGCTGATAAGTGCCCACATGGGTATATTCGTAAATATGGCCTTAAATGGGGTTTTTGGCTTGTTCTTATCCTGTGGTGGTATCTCCTGGGCCAAAAATTCCCTTTCCGTTGGCTTGATGTAAGGATGTGTATATGGATAGCTGAAGCACAGCAACGTAAACAGAATACACCAAAAAATCGCGATAAAGGCGAATATATAGAATACCCACATCCAATCCATGGAGTCGAGTATTAGGCCGGATAATATGTTGCCAGCGATGCTACCCACCTGACCGCCACCGAGTACCAGGGATCCCAACATTCCCCGCTCACTTGCCGGTGCCCACCCGGCAAGCAAAACGCTTAGGGCTGGAAATGTTGTTCCTTCGCCAAGTCCCATTAAGACGCGAAGAACAATTAAGGCATCGGCACCGCCATAAACGATACTCACTGGCGTAACTAGTGTAAATATGGCCGTCAAAAAGATTCCAATAACCAGGATCCACTTTCCGCCAAATTTGTCAGCCAAGAGGCCTCCGGGTAAATGCGTTACAATATACCCAATGTAGAACGATGCCAGGATCAGTCCTTGCTTCTCTTCAGACCAAGTATAGGTGCCACCTGAATCACCTTTGCTACTTGAATCAGAAGACTCTTCGTCCGCATCACAAATTGCTTCATTTTGTTGTGCTGCTGCCGTATAATTCTTCTTAACCACGAGAACTGTGATTGCCTGTGAAAGACACACTCGCATGGTGTAGGCATTGAAGATGGCAAAGAATCCCATGATAGCCAGAATCCAGCGTTGTGGTAGTACGAAAAATTTGGACAGTTTTATGCCCCATTCGGGCTGTGGTTTTTGAGGATCAGCCATTAATTTTTTTTTTTTGTTTTTTTCTACCAATAGAATTTATGTTTTAAAAAACACTCCAATGGAATCAGGACATACTTAAATGATAAAAATTTTAGGGCCTACTGATTTTTATTACAACGCAACCAAAGACATCTTAACGAAACATGTTATGATTTAGTAAAATCCTGAATACACAAACTAGTTTAACAACGTTTTATTTTATGAATAAGTGAAAATTCAGTTGTTTACAAAGTTTTTTGGGAGTTCTAAAGCACTTAGCTCAGCACATAAACCATATGTGTACAAACGGTATGCCCTCGGAATAACCCACTTCCTGTTTCCATGTACCCATTCTCGCCATCTGTGTGGTTTTTTCCTTTTCTTTTTTTGTTTACTTGCCGACTACTTGGCTATACAGAACAGTCCCAAGATGTCCCTAACAATTACATTTCCTTCACAATTTATGTATGTTTTGCAACCTTTTCTTTTTCTTTCTTTTTTTTTTGTCTTGGAAAAGGCGTCGTCGTCGTCGTCGTCATCTATTGTTTTGAATGTGAGTGAGTCAGTCACATATGTGTCCACGGTGGCTTGTGGTTGGATGGGTGAGAGTTTGCTGGGTTTTGACAACCGCAGGCGCAGGTCCTTGCGGTAGCCTAACCGAAGAAGAAGGGCTTCCATTTTCATCATCATAAAGTCTGTTGAAAGGAAATCGATATGGGCAACTTAATCATGAAATGAAGTCGCCGTCAAGTTGTCTTTCATTTTCAATTCCATTCTTGGCACCCACCGCCACCTTGTACTCCACCATCCAACTCCATCTACTACTCCAGGGGGCTTTGTTTACCTATATAGAGTGCGAAGGGCCAAACAGTTTTCCCTAGGTTTTGGTTTTAGTTCGGTTCGACTTGGATCGGCGTGGTTCATTTTGCTTCGCTTCGGTTTTTACCTTGGCTTGAACTGGAATTGTTTTGTTTGTTTGTTTTCATGTCTAAGTTAGCTTACTTTTGTGCAAAACTTTTTCCTGCTATCCGCTATGGCTTATGCTTTCAATCACCGCTCCGCACCAACGATTCTCAGTGGCCACCCACTTGTTCCCCCTGTTGCTAACATTTTTTGTTCATTTCCGTTTCGACTTCCTTTGTAGCTTCGTCAGGTTTTATCCGTTCTAGTCCAGAAATGCAGGTCAGGTCAGTTCAGTGCAGTATTATATTAATTTTTTCGCTTTACCTTACTTTTTTGGGGTCAAACTCCTGTTCAGTGCCCTCTGGGAACTGGCGATAAATGCCAATTTCTGGGTTCATTGCAATTATCTTTCTTATAACTGACTTAACATGGCAAATCAGGTAAACATTAGGTAAATCAGCCATGGTTAAAGTACGTAAATGAAACCGAAAAAGTAAATTCATGTAGTTTTATCAGGACTTTAAAGTCAAACGTTTTTCCAACCCAGATTAATCAATATTTGCTTTGCTTTTTAAATGATCAATGGGATTTTGGCAGCGATTTCTGACGAACCGGTGCGATGTTGTTTTTACATAATCCTAAAAATCAGAAAATAAAATTTAGCTCTGACAGTGGCTGTGGAGTTGTTAAGTTAAAATGTCAATAGGATCGCCACCGTTGTCAATCCTGAATTTTATACCATAGAAACATATACATTGACCCACTTTGGGCGAGTAAGCCCTAACATGGGAAAAAAAGATTCCTTCAATTATTCCGCGCATGCCACTCCTCCCACTTTCCCCCAACCTTCCGACTTCTTAGCCCACTTTCCACCGCCCACTGGATGGCCAGTAACTGACGTCGAGCAAGGGCCTCGATAAAAAATTGTATGACAGCAAAAGGCCATGGCAGGAGAAATATTTTATGAGCTTGCATACATTTTTCATGTTATTTAAAGTTCATTAAAAAAATACGTCGTCCGTCACAGAAAAGGGAGAAAATTATAGAGATATAGCAGAGCAGTGTTTAATTATTTGCCGACTAGAAAATACATTTTCTTTATTTTTTCAACTGGGAAATGTAATTTGAATTTGCTTTCTAACTATAAAGTTCCCTGGTATTTTCCTATTACTGTTTCTAGTTGCAGGGTGGACTGTAACCAAAAAACCACGAAAACACAAGTATTTCAAAGCAGCAAGTTAATTGGCATCTCTAGATTTGTACCTTTTTGTGTCTTTCATTAAATAATATAAAGTTCTAGTTCAAAATGTGCTATTTTGTACCTTAGATACAGGTTTCCATTATTAATATTGGTGAGAGGAAATATACAGAAATTTAAGCCGTCTTTGTTTGACAACATCACTGATCACCATATTTTCGGGAATAAATGATACTTGTTCTTTATGTTTATTATGTGTATATATATCCATCCATTTGCCTCGCTCGACAGTTTTTTAAACTTTATTCATGCCTTTCCATGTCACTGCTCTGTCAGTATACTGTTGTTGGTTTCGAGAGAAAGGAAAAAAATTTGGAAAGTTATTATTTATTTTATTTTGGCTATTTTTTTTGTTGCTCACTAGTTTTGCTGTGGAGTGAATTTTGTTTCCTTATATTTGTTCTTTTCTCATATTTTAACAACTGGCTTATTTTCCCGAGTTCAATCGGAGGAACTATGGTGTTTCCTTTCGTCCTTGGCCTGTGGAAATTCTTCAGTTTTGTGATTGAAAGGCATTTTGGTTGGCTTAGTTCTGGTTGTTGGCATGGCTGCGGGGCTTGTAATGCGTATGCTCAACAATTCCGTTGCATGTCACATTGTTGCCCGATATGCCTGCAACATAGTTGAGCAAAGCTTTTTGTTCCCTTCCACTCTGCTGATAAGTGTTGCAACGTGCAACTATTAAATAGTTTCGCAGCTGCCATTTTCAAGTTTCTTGGCCCATGGCCCATTTCTTGAGTAACTTCTTGGGCCACTTTAGATGGGAACTTAAGAAAGAAAAATGTTGGGACTCAAGTTTAAATCGAGGTCGATTTTTTATTTTCTTATACTCAACAAAAGTATGAATTAAAAGTGGCTTGGAACTTATAATGATAAAGGAGTTAGCCCGTCTTAAGACTGGAAAATCATTATTAATTCGGTTGCATTAAGACTCCTTAATTTGATTGTTGAATTGTGCTAATTAGTTTCGGATATTATTGTTTAGAGAAAAGCAACGTTTGCCTATTAATTCATAAGTTTATTAAGCTTTTTGAATATTATCCAATTATTTTTGAGCTCATCTATGTATGGACATAAACCGGAATTGGTTTCGTAGTAAATTGATTCAATTGCTTAATTATAATACAGAAATATCATAGAAATTGTTTGAATGTCGATTTCGCCTCACCTGTCTGCCATCTCACCATTGCTCTGGTCTGACGTTTTGCTAAAATCAACAAACATCCATAATTGTTTTCATATTCGAGTTTGTTTGCCTACGTCTCAAGTAGATTTGGGTGCACTCAATGGATTTAGTTGGCAACTGAAATGGATGCCGTGATTGTGAATGCTTCTACTCTGTTGCGGTTTTGAAGCTCATTAAAATTTTGGTTTATAAGCTTTCTATGTCGGCATGCTGAATGCCTGGTTTAGCATTTTGTGGCAAATATGTATTTTATCCCAGTTCAACGAGCTCTATAGGTTGGAATGTATGGTTAAGCCGGTTGGGCAAAAATTTTATTATATCTAACATATCCATTTGTTAATCGATAAATATCTAATTGGTTCAATTGTATATTTTATGGTTAAAGCATTTAATTCCTAACGATTTTTGATAAATATACTTCTAAAGGGAAACTCAATTATTTGCTTAAATTACTCATTAAATACAATATCAGGGAAATTTAAAGGCAAGTAAAATACTCTTAAAAATAACCCAATCGATAATTTAATTAAGCGATGCGATAGCATCCTACGTAAAACTGTGAACTGGAGAAGCAATTAGTGAACAAGATTCATTCGAGGTGGGGATGAGTTCCTGGTTATCGCAGTGGTCATATCCGGTGAAGTCCGGTAGGACTACAACCTTTTATTCGTAGCTTCGCCCAGTCCGAATTACTGACACATCAGTTGGTATTGTCTTTTGGCTTTGTCTACGGAAATAGCGCAGCGGGAAAATCAAACTAATCAGTTGAATGATTGGCGTCGACAGCCGATGAACAATGGCCACGTCCGACATCCTCTCGATATCCTGCGAATGAATTTTGTCGCTCGTTTCAGGGAAACTTTTCCACCTTTTTCCGCATTTAACGAGGTTTTCTCCTCTCTTTCATTCCAGCGTCGTATGGAAATTGTTCGATCGGGGGGCATGGCATAGCTCAAATAACTTTATAGCTCGCTTCATTTAGTTTATAACGCGCTGAGGGTTTTTTCTTGTGTCCACCTTACTTCATCCACTTTTTAATTTACCTTAATTTCAACCTGCCTGGACTTCAATTATAGAGCTATCTGGCCGGACTAGCCTTAGCCTCCCTTGGCCAAAGTGGATTAGCTTTGTACCGTGAGTGGCAGAGCGCTACTTCAAGTTAATTTGTTATGCAAAAATTACCCCCAGTGCTTTGGCCTATTAATAGTAGCTTTTGTGGCTACTCTTTTAAGGGGGAGAAGCGAGCGTCTTAAGTGAATGCGGGTCAAGATTTCAGATTATGGTTTTGTATTATGGTATTGTGTTGCTGACTTGCCTGCTCAGTAAATAAGTTTATTTGTTCAAGTCTTAAAGATATAATCCCTTAATTAAATGACTGGTGTATTTTAAAATTAAAGTTAATAAAATTACAATAATTAATATTCCTAATAGAGATTTTAAAGTTTTCCCATTTAAATGTTTATTTATTGCAATCGCATTAGTTTACTGAAACCTAAAGCTACTTTTCTTAGGCAAAATTATTTTCTCTTCATAAGTGCTAAACTACGCAGTGCTTAGCTTTGTGGAAAAATATTCCTTTTCGGTCCAATTTTCCATCTCCTTTCACTTACCTAATGAGAAGCTTTCAGGCCTAAAGAGGCCAACAAAAAATGGCTCTGAAAGATGACTAGACTGGAGCATCCACAACTCAGTAACCGCAGCTAACACATACAACACATACATACACAGAAACACACTTGGGTGCTAATGCCATTTTGACGTTGCCTTCGGTTTTTACGCGCTCTTGTTTTGGAACGCCCAAATGTAGACTACACTTTAGTTGTTTCACCGCAGAACAGGGCACGCCCATAATCCATAAGTTAAGCTCAATGGTTTGTTTGTGTGGCGGTCGCTGGCTGTCGGTTGGCCAGATCCTGCTTCCTCCTCAAACTCCCCTCCACCGCTCTGCCCTTTTTGCGGTTTTTGGTTCAGCCAAAACATATACAAAATCTCCCCCTAAAAACAAAAATTGCCAACAACCCAAATCACTCGCCTCCAGAAACCAAACTAAAGGGTCAAAGTTACTTTAAACGTTGGCATGAACAGGGGCTAACGAGGCGGCTTGAAAGGACTCGGCTGGTTAAAAAAAAAAACCAGGAGGCTTGTGCTTTGTTAGCAATTTATGATTATTTTTACTCGCATTTCGTCCTGTTTTTTTTTTTTTATCAGCTATCTACTGACCCGCATTTTCGGACACACGCCGGAAAAGGCTCCAATATTAAATGTGTGTGGGGTCAGCCCAAATATTTTCATCGCATGAGGAATTCTTGTGTATAACAATGATGATTATGTGCTAATCCAAGGGCCATCAGCCGTAACAATTATTAAGGGATACTACTAGTTATAGTAAGTCTTAAAGCTCTGAACAACATTACTTCGACCAGTAACAGTAATAAGACCCATGCCATTTATTAAGAAAGCTAATTCAATTCATGAATATCAAATTCATATAAATGAAATTTGAAAAGTTGACATAATTTAAACAATTAACAATATTTTTGCTTACTCACACCCAAGCTGTGCACTCAAAACTGAAACGAAAATGCCGAATGACAGCAGAAATGGCCTGAGCTGTAGATTATGCCAAATAGTTTTGTGATTGCAAGCTAAAGGAAAAGCCTTAGGCAAAAATGCCTTAGATATTGATTACAGATGTGTGTGTGTGTGTCTGACACTCCTCTGAATTTTCCCGCTGGCTGGTAAAATCAAATTAAATGTCCAAATTGCTGGCAATAGGGGATAACGAGTTGGATGCAACTGACTTGTGGAAATCCCTTTCTTATCTTCTGTTGGTATTGAAAATCCAAAATTCTAACGATAATTGGAATTCAAGTAAACATTTGCATCCCTGTTGATGTCCTTGTGCTTGTCCTTTGACGTTCAGGATATTTGGTTTTGTTTGCTGAAAGATATATTGTAATAAATTCCATTGGAAACTAAAGGTTATTTTGCTTTGTAGTTTCCTGTTGTCATGAAGTGAAGGTACGAGGTGTGTTCAAAAAGTAAGGTGACTCTTCAAATTTCGCGAATTTCAAATTTTTCGATTATCGAAACCTTTTAGAAGTTATACGAGGTGTGTTCAAAAGTAGGTGACTTTTCAAATTTCAATTTTTAATTTTCGATTATCTTCAGTTTTGGGAACAAGAAAAGTCATGGGGCCAAATCCGGTGAATATGGTGGCTGAGGCATTATTGTGGTGTTGTTTTTGGCCAAAAATCAATCCTTTGATCCATATTTTTCGATAGCAAAAATCGCCGAGCTCGCAAAATAACTTGTAACTTTACGCCTCTACACCAAACAAAGAGGATGTTCCATTGAACTTGGTACAGATGTTAGGGAAGAGTGTACCAATATAACAAAACAAAAAAATTGATAATAAAATTTGAAATTCGAAATTGGAGTACCTTTTGACCCTCGTATATAAAATATATTTATGCATCTGTTAGTAACAATAAATAATTATCATTTTTAACCATTCTTAAATGTATGCCATATATTATTAAAAAACACTATATTGTTATTAAAACAGTTCCGCAGTTGACATATTAACATATTTTTCGACTGACTTATTCCCTCCATTTTCCATCGCAATTCCCTATCTCATTCTGTGTCATGCAAACGCAGTCCTTCCGTCTGGTTGCTTTTCAGCCAACCGTTCTGGAGATAAAAAAAAATTTTTTGTACTCATACATATTTTAAAATCTCGGTCAATAAGCATTCGGCATTGTCAGGCATTTCTTAGCCTATCTGCGCTTCTGGCCCATTGTAAACAAACTGTTAACAAAGCCAACAGGATACGCAAAAGTCAGC